ATCAGGCCAACATCAGGGGCAAGTATTAGGAATGCCAGCCCAGAGGCCCAGGGTACCAGGGCCTCAGGCCATACCCAAAAGAAGAAGCGACTGATGCTTGTACAGCATTGAGTTGTGCCAGGCACCATTCTGAGCACTTTCTTCTCTCAAGGCTTTTCATCTACAGAATAATCTTGGGATAGTCCTCATTTTATAAGTAAGGAAATGAAGGCAGAGAAAAGCAGAGTAGCTTGCTGAGTGTATCTAGCTGGGAAGTGGCACAGCAGGGATTTGTGGGCAGTCTGGCTCCAGGGCTCCTGCTGTATAGTATTCCTGTTTCACTGCCCAGGAGTACCATGCATACGAATTGCAGTGTGGGGGGTTCCTTGGAGCTGGGCTGTGTAGGTGGTCCTGATCCCATACTACTTCCCTTTAAAAAAAAAGCCAATTCTCTCTGCCTTCTGTGCACCAGGAAATTCCTATGTACCTCTCATTTATTAACTCATTAAGTCCGGAACTATTTTTATCTCAGTGTTACCCATGAGTCCCAGAGACACTCAAGAACATGCCTGCCTAGGTAGTGAGGTTTAAATTCAGACTCAGAGGATGAGTAAGAGGGGAATCAGTCGTCCATAATGCTTTGTTATGTTTTGTTTTCATTCCTTTGTCAGCCGTGCAGACACCACCGCCTGTCTGAAGCACGTTTCAGTGAGGAAACGGGGTTACAACATACATGCTTGCTGTGTCACAGATTTCTAGATGAAAACGAGGGAGTGGATTAGCTCTTGCAGAGCCAAGGAGGGAGAGAACCATCTAGCCCACTGTAGTCACTTCACAACATTTAAATGAAAGCAAAAAGCAAAATAACGCCTATAGCTGAATTGGCAACGGAGGACGTTGGGCTTGTGTTCTAATTCATAGAGCCAACGAGAGTCCAAACACGGTCCCTTTGTTCCTTCCCTGACCTCGCAGAGTCCTCCTGTAGAACTCATAACTACACGGCTTAGGAAAGTTACATTCCGGAAAAACGTGGGTGGAAATTGGGCAGCAACATTTCTGCTAGCTTCCACATCTACCCCTCTTGTCTTGATCATGACTGTCTAAAACTCAGAGTGGATTAGCTCCCTCTTGGTTTTTCTCTCCCTCTTCTCCCTCTTTCCAAACACATGGAAAAGAGGGGAAAATGCTTGTCCTTTGCATTCCACCATCAATCCCAGTGTTGGCTGTGCCATGAAGCCCAGCCCAGGTAAGGGAAAGGAACTCCATGTCCCTGCATTTGAAGCCAACAGAAACTAATTCAAAGTAATGTTCTCTTGAGATACAGAAGAAAGCTTTCCTGGTTTGTTGAGGACCATACCATTTCTTCTGCTGAACCTCAGAGATCAGCTGTGGCATTTGTCAAATTGCAAGAACAACCTCTCTACCAAGAATCATGTGGAATTTATGGGGTGGGGGTGGGGAGTAGTGAGGGGTAATGCAGACAACTGCACTTGAACAATAAAATAATTAAAAAAAAAGATGTTCTCCATTACTATTTTAAATCTAAACAAATAACAAAACTATAAGTAAAGTCCTGACTTACAGCAAAAAGAATCATGTGGAATTTATAGCAGAATCCCATGAGCATGCCTTGTTATAGGGCCTTTTTTGACTATTGATCATTATGAGATGACTTGAAAGGAAGTGGGTCAGAAACATAGTCAGCAAGCAATCTCAAAATGGGAAAGAGTCATTTTGGGCATGTGACTTTGGGGGCTACTCAGTGTTGAGAGGGAGGGGGTTACTGGCAAACACCGACACAGGGTGACTGCAAGGACTTCATACTTGTTCTCATTGTAACCTCAGGTAGGAGAAGCAGACCATCCTCTCAACCAATCACTTAACTGGAGAAGTCTTCAAGTCACACCAAGAGACTGCCAATCCCTTAGTTACTTTTCACCTTTTGCTGCAGTTCAGTGTGATACCCTTGAAACTGGGCTCTTGGGACTTAAACCTGCTGGAATCCTGAGGCCCTTTGACCAAAAGCTGGTGACGTGGGATGTGAAACAGACCCAGACTGCTCCCCGGGCCTCTCACAGATTTTCAGTCAGCTCTTAGTTCAGAGCATCTTGGGATAGAGATGGTCAGTTCCAGGATCCTCCTGGAGCTTTGAGTTCATTTTTATGGAAACTCCTCAGAGTTCCTCTGGGGAAGTCCAGTCTGAGTCTCTCACTAGGGTCCCTCTGGAATGCGGGATCAGCCTGAATATGGAATTGAAACCTCACCTGACTTGCAGGTGCAGTGCTTGTTCTGTGTAGACCCAAATGCTAGGGGCTTCCCTAATCTACTGAATTGATTTTTAGTTGTCAGCTTGTGGATGACCAAATGATTTGTGATTCGACAATTCTTAGAAGGAAAGGAATGGTAATAAAAAATAGTCCCTCCCCCCCACCCCCACCAAAGAGGCCTCCTTCTGTTTTACCAGATTCCTTCTGGGAACATGTCCACTGCTCCTCGTCCCTCATCTTGAAAACCCCATCAAGAAGGGAGTGGGGAGGAACTCTCAACACTAGAAAATTACAGCTTTGAATACAGCAATTTAGCCATTCTGGGTATTAAAATGAGGGCTGGGTTAGGTGACTCTGGGGTTCTCCCACCTCTAGAAATTTGTGATTCTGAGTCCAGTATTTTTCCAAGCTCCCGAAGAGCAGGCTGAGGCAGGCTGCCCCTGTTTCACATCTGCTCTTAGTCCCTGAAGGGTCGGATGAAGGGTTGCAGGGAGTAACCACAAGCTGCTGCGCTTGTTTGAGTGCCTTCCTCCTGACATCCCACCCTGAGTCAGACTCGCTTACTGCATGAATTAGTCTACCACAAAACGAGCCTCTGAGCTTTAAACACTTCCTTTAGACCCTCACATTAGCTGTAGGGAGCACTCTGAGGCAGGGAAATGCAAGGGATTGAGTCATGTGTGGTTTTCTGGTTAGGGGGCAGTTTCTCTCATCTCGGTGAATAATGGAAGTGGACTGCCTTTCCTGCCCCCTCTTCTGCCTCCCCGCTACCTGCCAGTACCTTAGATTTCCATTTAAGATACTCAGGAAATATCTATACTCTCAACTGAGGTGGTAAAGTGAGGAAATGATCTGGAAAATCTAAAGAGAAAAAAGACCCTCTTGCCTCAATTTTCTGTACATTCTGACTAAAATATCACAACTCTGTATAGTTATAGACTTCATTAAAATGAGAGAATCTGACACAGGGATTTGAGCTTACAAATCCTTTGACTCGTCCTCTTGCTTCACGGAGGGGGTAGTGGAGGGGCAGCCTGGGAAGGGACTTCCTCCAGGACACACAGTCGTCCACAGGCAGAGCCGGTACCGGCTGTTTTCCTGTGGTGCCCTGCCAGTCGCACCCTTTCTCTTTTGCCCTTCTCCCTCAGTGTCTGCACAGACGGCATCCATCCTCTATGAACCCTCCCATTCTGGGGTTCCAAAGGACAGAGTCTCCTTGCTATTGTTCGTATTTGAAAGTGACTAAGTACTGGTGCCCTTCAGAAGGTGTGCGGCTGTGACTGAAAGACACTAAGGGGTCAGTGCAGACTTGGAAGAACTGCGCTCTGCTCGACAGTTATAGTTCTGGTGTTGCTTTTTGTGACTCGGGTTTGTTTCTTTATGAGTTACACTTTTCAGAGATAGTGGCTAGAAGGATGGACCTCATTTCCTAGGTCCAGAGCCGGCCAGTTAACCCCGTGCTGAGCTCCCATGACCAGCAGCCAGCACCTTCCGGCTGACAAAGCAGGGTGACAAACACTGATAAGTGTTTGTGTTGCACTTTAGATTTTTAAAGTCCTTCCTCTGAGTTACTTCTAACCTCAGTTTGGCAGGTGTTAAAACTAAAACCCATAGAGTGGTGACAGGTCCAGAACTGTCCGACCGATTCGTGGTGAAGCTGGTATTGGACTCAGAGCCTGTGAGTTTCTGGGTCATCGCTTACTCCAATGAGTCATTCAGCTTCTCTAGATTATGTTTTTTTGCCCCTCACCAACGTCTTCCCCTGCTCAAATATAGCTGGCTTCTGTTACCGTGAGCTATAGAGCTCTCCTGCATCAAGGCTGCAGCGCATATTGGTTGACCAGAAAACCCTTTTAAGTGTTTAGGTGAGCTCCAGGGTGGGACCTGCCCTAGGTCACACCAGGCTGTGGTATGGTGGCAGCCAGGGGAGGGAGTGGGACTGGTCAATGTGAGTTTTGGGGAAAAGATCCATGCTGTTTGAGGAATATTAAAGGTCTAAACGTTGGAAAGGGGATGAAGGACTTAAGCTAAAACATTGGCTGTTACTAAAAAGCAGTTAAAAAAAATTAAACTGAAGAGGCATTAACATTTTTACATCCAAATGAAGGCTTTTGAGAGCTTTTGGTTTCTTTTTTCACATTTCACTCATTGGGTTAAAGAGGTATTTTCCTGACAGTGAGGCAGAGAATATTGAAAACTTTTACGCGAGATTATTGAAAACTTTTACAGTATAAATTCCCACAAGAAATCTTACCATCTGTTTATTTTATCCATTTTTTACCTTATTCCTTTTAAAAAACAACAAACTTTTAAGTGACTTATTGCCCATTTGACTGAAATTGCATCTTTCAAGTACAGATGTTGGGTGGAAATTAGTATCTGTTTGCCTGTCTTTACACAGTATTCTCTGAGAATAAAATTTCTCCTTTGCTCCCCTACTTCCCTTCAATTGTGAATTTAATTAAGAAGATGAGCAGTCGTGTTGAGAGTATCCAATAGTCTGCCTTTCCAAACGTTCCAAGCAGCCTCTTACATATCGACGTGTTTATGGCAGAGCTATACAGTGCAGGCGAAACAGGAAGCAGCTCTTTGCTGGGGAGGATGCTCCAGTCGCCCTCCACTCTCCCGGGGAACGCTCTTCAGCTGACTGAAGCAGGCAAGCCGAGCCAATCAGAGGCTGCTTTCCTAGCTCAGTCACCAGTCTGTGGTTGAGAAAGGGTTTTGCTTTTTTTATGCTCTGTATTGGGAAGGCAGATAAAATGCCAGGTCTGAACTGCCTCTGGTGATATCCTCAGCCTGTGTGATGTGAATGAATAGCATCTTGCCTGGCAAATCCACAGGAATTGATAAGGCAGGTGCAGTTCTCCACACAGGCCTTTTCTATCTTTTAGCTCTAGCTGTGGCTTCTGTAGCAGTTTTGCTTTTTGCCTTGAAAGAGGTGCTCTGGATTATCAGACCTCCATGTATGACAATTTGTACCTGCATGGAATTGAAGACTCGGAGGCTGTAAGTATTTTCATAGATAGCTGATTCCCTCTCCCCTCCTCTTCCTCCTCCCACTGAACTCACCCCCTCCCCCATTTCTTAGCCAACGCAGGGAACATGGAGCTGAAAGCTAACATCTTTTGGGTGCTTGCTGGCTTCTGTGTCAATGTTCTCTGTATACTTTAGAGTTAACTGAAATAATTCTTTATTATATAACTTCTTGTCTAGCAAAAAAGGAATTAGGATGATAGCAAAGGCAGCTAAGAGAGTACGCTGTTTGGATTTGTACACTGCTTGGTCCACGTTTGATCTCACCAGGGGTAACTGCTCCTTGTAGACTGGCTTAAACTCTGCAGAAAGTGACTGTGTTTTCCAACAGCAGGGTTCACAGAAAAGGCTCATTCATTATATAATACACATTGTTTATGGAGCAAGCATGAATGGAAGTTCATGCTGTAGCTGTATTATACACTTTCTGGCCAAACAAGCGGTTCAGATCTACTGCTTCTTTGTTAAGGAAATCAGATGCAAAGGTTGTAGTCATACGACACCCCAGTGCAGAGGCAGGGGGTCGTGTGCCTGCACGCCCCCCTGGGGGACCGGAGTGTGCTCATGTGTGTTCTGGCTTAGAGAGCTCGGCTCCTTTCCCTCCACAGGTCAGGCTCATGTCATCTATTAAAATCGGGATAAAAATGGTTTTCTGAAATTTCTAAACTCATACTATCGGAATGCTAGCTTTTGAATATAGGGTAAAGCTGATTACTGAATATTTCTTTTACTATTGCTAGTGTCAGTCCTTTATTTTAGATCAGTTATGTAGAAACCTTGCAAGGTAAAATGATTCGAGGTGGCTAATGGGCACTGCTGTGGGGAGTCAGAACTGTGTGCGAGTGTGATGCCATACATGTTGCTACCTTTGAAACAGGACTGTGTTATATAAGGTTCTCTGGCTCAATCACCAAGTAAACAGACTATAACAAAAAAAACTCCTCTATAATATACGTCAGTGCAGACGTATGTATCAAATGATATACTATCTATGAAAGACAGAAATCCTCTGTTCTGATAAGGCATTTCGTTTTTCCTCCCTGTCTGTGTGTTAGCTCAAACTCTAACTCTGTTTCTGCAAAGTCTCTCTGCATGTTGCCCAGCATGCTTGTAAATTATCAGACTGTCAGTTTACTGCAAGGGACCATAGGCTGAAACAGTGCTGGTTGAAATAGCCAAGGTCCACACTTGCAGGTGGGATGGGAGAACATAAAACACAACTATAGGAGTTCAGTAAACCAGCTTCTCCAGCTGGGTTCCTCAGGAGGCCTGATTATTTCTCACCCCTTCTTTTCACGGCAAGTAATAAAACATATAATGTATTATTGAATTGTAACTTTTTTTTTTGGCCATTGGGTGTTGTATTGCACTTAAATGGATTGGTTGGAGTTATTTTAGAAGCCAGCAACTATGAACAGAGTCGGCTAGGAACTAAAGTATCCAGCACCTCGTTCTCCAGACCTGTATAAATTTCTGATGCACTGGTTCAGAGGGGAGCCATTATAACTATGAAAACATTTTTCTTTCCTTTTGGTCCAGCCTTGCGGGACAGCTGAGTTTTTCTGTAGGGTGGGAAGTGAAGAGTGCAGTGACTTGACTCGGCGGCGGCAGTTGATGGCAGGTAGTGCTAGGTACTGCAGTGCTGTGCTCCTGGTGACTCAGTGGTGGCTCGCAGGCTGAGAGCCTCAGAGCTGCGCACATCTGCGGGGGCGAGGAAGGTGGGAGCCCTGAGGAATGAAGAACGGCACTGGGCCACTCCTGGGTGAAAGTACGGGAGGGTTTTGGAAGGGTGGGATTGAAAGCGTGTCACATAAATCAGAGGGAAAGGCAGAGATGTTCGAAGGGGGAGAACTGACTCTTAATGCTTATTTGAGTTTATTTGTTTTTATAAGGACGAATAATGTGATGTGTTACCCAAGATGGTGTGAACAAAGCTTCAAGCCAATGGAGAAGACTAGGCCTAAATAGCTGACCTGGTGAAGTGAAAAATAAAGCCACACCTGGAGTGCCACATCCTCAGCAGCCTTTCTCAGTGCCAATGCATTTATGGCTGTAAGTGTGGGGGTTTGCCCAGGTGGAAGTGAAGCTCTCGGAACAGGTCTGGTGGATAGGCGTGGAGAGGCTTTTCTCAGAGGGCCAGCTGCGGTCCAAGAATACACAGGCACTAAAAGCTGAGTACGGCACTTCCTTCGGGGTTAGAGAGATGTCCGTCTGCATCTGTCCTGCCACTCCGTGCTGTTGCAGGCGTCTTTGTGGGGTGCGTGGGGTTCAACTTGTGACAAGTGATTACATTTAGTATGTGCACATAGTAAGTTTATAATAAGATCATCTTGCCTAGGGACTATTGTATTCTGCATAAGAATGAAGCAATATTATCTACTGCTAGCACCTTCTTACATCCCTGCAGTATGAGAAAGATTTGGGTACTTTGGTGTGAGGTTTTTCTTAGGAGTCTGGTCTAGAGGTAGATATTATACTTATTGCATCCTAGATTTTTGTTTGTAACCTCTAGTTCATGAATTATACATTTAAAGAAAAGGAAACAAGAGCCATGCTGGAACATACTTGAGTCTGAGCGTTTTAGATTCTTGGGTTCTATGGAACCTTTTGGACAAGTCCCTTCTGCTCTGGTTTCTAGGAAGGCAGTTAAGTGTCAGCACCGTTAAGAATTACAAGGAAGTATGTAAGATCCTTCAGTGCCCCTACAGCAAGGTCCTGTGTGGGAACAAGAGATTTCATGCCCTGTATCACTCGTTTTGTTACCCTGACATGGATAATGGAGTGTGTGCTCCTGGGTGAGTCCGTGTCGAGACCAGGCCAGTCATAATGGATCACATACACAGAATCCCACCACACTGCCCTCTGGGAGGGTTACCCCATTCCACCTTCACTGCCCACACTGGGTCGTTATATAGCTCTTGGTGGCCAAGATGTATGTTACTGGGTGAGCCCCCCAAATACATTATGTATTTTTTTAATCTGAATCACAATAGGTTTTGATAGATCTGCTCCCTGGTATACATGTTTTATAAATGGAGTCAATGTGTATTTTGACATTTGTGGAATCATTATCAAAACAGACTTCTTTTTTTCATTTAGTAGGTTTATTACACAAACTATAGGAGGGATCTTCTTAGAGGGATCAATGGAAGAAGCAGATAGGTAGAAAAAATTACCTAAAATCCTCCCAGACATAATCACACTTAACATATTGCTATATATCCTTTCAGACTCTCCATGCACGTAAATGTCAATTTGTCATTTTAAACCTGCTACTGCTTATTGCATTTCTGTGAAATGCTGTTTTCACTTGATAAAATATTGAGCACACTAGTATGAGACTGGCCTGTGCTGGAGATGCTTTGCAAAATTTAAAGCTCCTACATGGACCTTTGGGATTTTGAGCAATTTCAATGAAATACAAATTTTTACATCCTGTGTTTTGTAAAGTAAAGCCAAGGTTATCTTCACACAAAATTGACAGCTGATTTCTCTGATACAATTGCATCTACTGCTTAATGCTTAAATTCTAACATATTTGGAGAGAGAAACCTGTTCTATTTCAGTGGAAAAGATACATAGTTCAAAATTTTTGGCATTTACTAGAGAGGAAAAAATACATTTTTAAGTGTTTTCAGTTCTAGAAAAGTAGCCATAATATATTAAACCGTTAAAAATCTTGTAGATATTGCTCTGGCCAGGCAGCTCTGTTGGTTGGAGTGTTGTTCTGTGCCCCAAAAGGCTGTGTGTTTTATTACTGGTCAGGACACATACCCAGGTTGCTGGCTCGATCCCGGGGCAGTGCATACAGGGCACAACTGATCAATGTCTCTCTCTTTCCTTCTTCCTCTGTTTCTAAAGTCAATAAAAAACACATATCACCCTGGCTGGCGTAGCTCAGTGGATTGAGCACGGGCTGCAAACCAAAGTGTCGCAGGTTCGATTCCCAGTCAGGGTACATGCCTGGGTTGCAGGCCATGACCCCCAGCAACCGCACATTGATGTTTCTCTCTCCTTCTCCCTTCCTTCCCTCTCTGAAAATAAATAAATAAAATCTAAAAAAAAAAACAATCTGAAAAATTAGGTTTAAAAAAAAACAAAAAAACCCCAAAACACATATCTTTGGGTGATGATTAAAAAATAATCCCATTAGCCCTGGCTGGCGTAGCTCAGTGGATTGAGCACGGGCTGCAAACCAGGCATCACAGGTTCGATTCCCAGTCAGGGCACATGCCTGGGTTGCAGGCCACGGCCCCCAGCAACTGCACATTGATGTTTCTCTTTCTCTCTCTTTCTCCCTCCCTTCCTTCTCTAAAAATAGATAAATAAAATCCTTTAAAAAATCCCATTAGCCTTAAAAAAAAAGAAGTCTTATAGATATATAAGTTAAAGCAAAGGTAAATTTTACAAACTATACTGTGTATATACAAAAGCACGTATTTATTTATTTATTTATTTATTTTAATAATAAACTTTTTAAGATTTTTTTATTTATTTGTTTTTAGAGAGGGAAGGGAGGGAGAAAGGGAGAGAGAGAGAAACATCAATGTGCGGTTGCTGGGGGTCATGGCCTGCAACCCAGGCATGTGCCCTGACTGGGAATCGAACCTGTGATGCTTTGGTTCGCAGCCCGCGCTCAATCCACTGTGCTATGCCAGCCAGGGCCGAAAGCACGTATTTAAATTTATATGTAACTCTATTTTAAGGATAAATATGTTGATTATTTAAACTGTTCGTTTTCTATAAGCCGTGTATTTTGGCCCAAATGTCTGTATGCCCATAGGTGCGTACAACTATACACCCTCGTACATTCACACACATTCATATCTACACGAACTCCACGCTTTGCTAATTGATAGTTAATGCTAAGTGGGGGATTTCTGCCCTAGAGCTTTTGGAGAAGGAAAATTAACTGTGTTTGCCATAAAGAAAGATACCCAAGAGGGTTGAAAGGCAACATATCCACAAGAGAATAAAGGATTGCTACTTCCAAAGGTATAATAAGGTTATTTTAAATATGGAAATATGTTCTTATGCTTGGTTCGGAGGATGAACTACAAACAGAAGGCTTGGTGTGCTTAGGGACCTTCGGAAAAACACTCTAGGGACAGTAAGGATTAGATTTCTTTTGGAAAAGAAATGTGTTTGTGATAGATCAGAGGACCCCTTCTGGGGTCAGGGAGTTTTTCTGACCTGTTTATAGAGAATGAGTCCTGTTCTGTAGAAGGATCAAAGTGTCAGCATCACTGACCAGAGAGGAAAACCAAATGCTGCTCGTGGTCTGTGTAAGAAATTTGACTGAGAAAATCAACTTGTTTTACTCAGCTGAGTGATTTTGGTGTTTGTCTAGAGTCTAGGTAAATGGTGAACAGAAAATTCTCTTTAATCAAACAGTTCTTAGCAGTGATGGTTTTCTAACAAACACATTGAAATGATTTCTAGATGCAATTGTCATAGAGTTAAGGAGACAAATTCCTTAAATCAGACCAGAACCTGTGAATTGGCCTCTCTGAGGTCAGTCTTGTCACTTTCTTTGTAATTTACAATATCAAAGGAAGTAGGGAAGTGTTAGGTTCAATCCCTGCCTTTCCTCGGGGTGCCCCATCTCCTTTCCTGCTGGTGTTCTTTTTCCTGTGAGATTATGATGTCAGTCAGGATTTTAGAGTATTGTCCTGTGACTCCATAGCTCAGGTCCTGTGACTCAGTGAGCATTGCATTATTCTGTGGTGCAAGACATTCTGGGTTAAGGTCAGCAATAACCACGAAAAAATTCTTTTAAGGGTGAAGGTGGGGAGGCATCTCATTGCCTTAGCTGTTCTTTTTCTATCAGAGTTCAGCTTGAATCTTATTTCTATGCAGTGCTTCTTGTTATTCTGTCCACAGTCACCCTGTAATATCCTTTACTTAGGTAAAGTAAGCCACCTGAGGAGGACAGAGACATAAATGGGTCTGTTATTTTTTGTTCTCTCCCTTCCTTCTCCCACTAGTTTTTATAATTATCAAGTCATGAACTCAGATATTCATGAAGCTAAGTTAAAAATTATGCCAAGAAGCTGTATAGATATAAATTCTGTATTGTGATCTAAATTAGGTGGAGTTAGGTGCCTTTAATGTGTTTGCAACAGGCCACACGGACTTTGAAAACAGCAGCAGCTCTGAAAGGCCAGACTGGCAGACATTTGGGGTAAGACCCATGTGATCTCACCTATTGAGAACAGGGCCCTAGTTGGCCACTGCTTGGTGTGTAAGCTCTAGGGAATTTACAGTTCATATAATATAATGGCAAGCAGATTGGGGGTTGTAGGTTTTTATGCCATGGATTTTCAACTTTTTAAGACTTTGACTAGAGTGAGTCCAAGATAAACCTGCGTGGCCATTTTTACAGTGCTTATGGGTTTGCCCAAAGGAAGATGGCCTGCATGTCTTGAGTGATCATTTTTGATATCTAAATAGACCGATACTCATTCTTACTCTGCATTTATGTATTCTCTTAAAACATAATTGTGTTGTTTCAATAATAAATATTTTTCTCTCATCTTAAATCATGCCATGATGTCAGTACTTCCTACATCCTATTTTTTCTTCTTGTGTTAAATCTAAAACAGTATATTTTGAATTTGCTTTCAGTCTTTTTGTTCAGAGGACATGATCTAAGGGATGCATCTTAACATGAGTTTTGAAAACAGTCAGTTATTTAGGAGCTTGATTTTATAGTTTGTGTATGACTTAGTTCTCTTATTTTGCCTTTTTTTATCCTATTACTCCTTAATGTCTCTCTTCTTTTTAGCTTGAGCATCATATAGTAAAGCGATTCTGACCTTCACTGTTATTACTCTATTAGCAGATTTGTTGAGAAGTTCGGTGAGTGATAAGGTGTTTCTGAATCTTTTTTAACCTCCATAGAACTTTTATCTTCTATTGACCATGTCTATCAACCAGGGAAATAGCTTTTATTTTTTGTACTTTGTATTTTGAAACAATGGTGTGATTAAAAGCAGAGACTCGGTGGAAGATTGCTAGCGATGAAGTCCCAGCTTTCCACTTCCTAACTG